AGAGTTTGGTTACAAGCCACGAACCCTTTTTGCTGGACATATCATTTGAAGGAGATTTGGGACATACCTCTCAATTCATTCTGTAATGTTTTGAGGACACTTTCCAGCTAGTGCGAGCAAAGTGAAAGATGGGATAAGATGGTGAAGGGCCTTAGAACTAAAACAAACCCAGGAATTTCAGGCATTCATGGTAAATATATACTTCTTAAAGTTTAAATATTGTGATATTGTAAAATGAGCATATTTGTTCTAGGTTGAAGCTGATAGCATTTATATTCTATTAATATTACTTTTCATGTTAAGCTGAGAATCTTTTTTAAACCTCTGGTCATTTTCCTTGTGACCTTCCATATAACCTTCTTTTCTATAGATGCAATTGTTTGAGAATTGTTTTGCATTTGTCTTTCTGAAAATTGATTTCTTGTGTCTAGCCCATTTTTTAAATTTATTTGTTTTATTATATGTCTATGAGTGTTTTGCCTTCCTGCATATAAGTGTACCACATGCATGTAGTGCCTGTGCATGCCAGAAGTGGGTGTTGGATCCTGTGGAGATGGAGTTAGGGGTGTTTGTTAGCCATCATGTGGGTGTTAAGAACCAAACCTGGGTCCTCTTCAAGAGCAGCCTGTGCTCTTAACTGCTAAATCATCTCTCCAGTCCTATCTTACTGTTTTTAATTGCTAAAATTGTTTAGAAATTTGGTCTATCTGGTCCTGGCTAAAATCAGTGGGCCACAAAACAAACAAAAAGACATAAGTGTGAAAAGGGGACCTGTAGTGATGAGGGAGGGATGACAGGGATGGGAGAGAGATAAGAGAGTTGGGGTGAGAGTAATCAGTATGCATTATATACATGAAATTGTCAAAGAACAAATTTAATCAATAAAGAAGTTTGTCTTCTATTTAATTAATTGTAATTCAAGTTGTCAATAAAGATATTGGACATCAACACAGCTGAGTCCTAGGCATGCCACTGAGGCCTTCCTTCATGGAGACATTATTGCATCACTTTTATTCCTTAGATATGATCACTGTAAAATCCCCTCTTCTTTGAGTGTGTGTGGAAATGGTGTGGATGCTAGAAGTCATCTCCATGGTTGTGTTTTGCTATACACTGGGTTGGTCAGCATCTGTCAAGTGGAAAAACTTAAGAAAATCAACTTAAAGGAGAAATATTTATTTTGGTTTTTGATTTCAGAGGGTTTAGTCCATGCTCACCTAGCCATGTTGCTTTGGGCCTATGCCGGCAGCACACCATGATGGACGTGCATAGCAGTGAAGGTTCGTTCACCTCGTGGTGACCAGGAAACAACAAGAAAGAGCAAAAGCCTGGCATCCCAACACTCTTCAAGAGCACACTCCCAAAGGCCCCTACATTAGGCCTCATCACTTCTTAATACCACCATATTTGGGGCTAAGCTTCCAACATTTGAATTTCAGATAAGGAAAAACCATATGCAAACCATAACCAAGATCCCAATGGTATGCTTTGCTGTCTTTTTGTCTTGTTTAAGATGTAAAGACATTTTAACCATTTTGTCATAGGTGTGGCACAGAGGAGGCAAGATTGGAAGTCACCCTACCTGACTCCAGAGTCTGCCTAGAGCTAGGACATCTTCTACCAACCCACACAAGGAAAGAGGAGCAGGTCGAAGGCTCTGGCTTGGGTGTTTAAAGAGGTGGACTTTAAAGAGACCACAGTGAAGCCCCTTCAGTAAGGATGTGTCTGAAAAATAAATACATCCAACTGTCCTGATGGCCTGGGCATCTTGGTTACATCTCCTGCAGACGAGAAATCCTTGCTTTGCTTTCTTTTAGGCTTTTCGTACAGCTTGTGCTAAAGTCCCATGGTACTCGTTTAGCCATTAGATCTCTTTAGATGACCCTATTTCCTTCCCTAGACCTCAGTCTACCCTTCTATAAAATTCAATTAGTTGACTTTGGAAAGCTCTTTCATCTCTGAGTTCTATTATTATAGATAATATTTTGACATCTCCTTCAAGTGTTTAGAAACTCTATAGACACTCTGAGATTGACACCCAGTTCCAAAGATTTCATTCAAATAGTCTTGACTTTTTTAATGAGAATTCTACTTTGTGAAACCTTGCACTTATAAACTTCCAAATTCCTTGAGAATCCAGCAACTCCAGGTCAGAGTGGCCTGTTTTTCAACTGTGGGAAAGCTGTTTGAAAAGGACATTGATGAGGTGAGGCATACCAAGGTTGGACCTCTGCTAGTGCAAGAATCTGCTTTTCTCACTGGGGCTTTGGCAACTGGGAGAAGTGGAAGGTGTGGAATTAATGTGGAACCAGAAGCTCAGGACTAAGGAGGTTGCACGTAGTCTCTATAAAGGTCCACTTGTAGATTTTGAGAAGAGTGACCAAAGGATAATAGTGTCTAAGAAAGATGGTAGGACACCCAGACTTACACTTCTCCCTGACTTATCTCATTTTGCCTCATGGCCTGTCTGATGCTCAAAAGTAAGGTAGCCACATGATCCTGGATGACTAGGGGTTAAAGCTGAATGCAGCCCAAATCCCTATGATCAGCTAAATCAGTGCACTCCATTCACAAGAAAACCAGAAGTTAATTCATTCCACACTCCTTTTCTCTGCCCGGGGAAACTGCCTTCCTGGGTTTCACTCAGAAACTAAAACAGATATGGGAAATTCACACTGAATTAGAGAAGATGGAAACATACTTCCAGTCCTCTCAACCCCATGGGCTCCAAAGAGTGAGTTAGAGACCATCACCACCTGGCAGGAAAAGCAGCTGTTCACCAGAGTCCTGAATCAGCAGATTCCAAAACACAGACAGTTAATTTTGGAGATTTCTTCCATCAGACCGAGCTTGTGGATAGTCAGTGTATTGATTTGCTAGGTATTAAGAAGATGGGCCATTGGTGCAGTTTAACAGAATTGTTGAGGTATGATTTACATGCCTTAATGTTACTCTTGTCAAGCGTATAATTCAATAATTTTTAGTGCATACATAGACTTGTTTACCACCATAACAGTTTTAGATCACTGTCCTTTGCCATATCTGTAATAAATCCCTGTTCCCACCACATCCGCAGGTAGCCACTGATCATATGGGCATTTCTATTGGTCATTTCTACATGTTTCATATCATCGATTCATCTGTCTTCTTTCACCCATGGGGCATGATGGTGGGGAGGTTCATCTGCACTGGGCCATGTTCGTTCCTTCATTTCTTTGGAGTGTTCTGTGGCATGGATATGGTGCATCTTGTTTCTCCATTCACTGTGGATGGACATTTGGATTTCTTCTCTTTTTTAACCAATATGATGCTGCCACTGTGAATGAGTGTCATAAACAAGCTAACTTATTTCTCCTGAGAAAACTCTCAGAAGGAGAAATTTCTGAATTTTATAAATATTTTTAAATATTTCATTTATTGTTTTTATTTTATATGTATCAGTGTATGGCCTGTATGTATGTAAGTGCACCCATGTTATGCCTGTCAGAGGTCAGAAGAAGCTGTCAGATCCCCTGGAACTGGAGTTATGGATGCTGTTAGCCACCATGTGGCTGCTGGGAATCGAATCCTGATCGTCTGCAAGAGCAGCCAGTGCTCTTGACTGCTGAGCCATCTCTCCAGCCCCAGCAAGCCTTACTTTTAAAGAAACTTCTAACCTGTCTTTCAAAGTGGCTGTGCCATGTGACATTCCCACCAGCAACATAGGAAGCTCCCCATTCTTCTGCATCCTCACCAGTACTTGTTATTGCCATGTTCTGAACTTTAGCCATCCTGCCGTATGTAACGCACTACAGGCATGGTGAACTTCCTTAGGGGCCAATCTTGAGCATCTTTTCATGTGCTTATTGTCCAACGAGCACAAGTAAATGAACTATGAATCATTTCGAGTACTAGAAATAATCTTATTTGTATGTATGAATGTGTGTGTGGGGGGGTGTCATCTATGAGTGCACACGCTCATGCGTATATGTATGGAGGCCAGAGGAAGACATCAGATGTCTTCCTCTATCACTTTCCACCTTATTTTTGAGACATGAACTTCTCACTGAATAAACCTGGAGCTCACCATCTCAGCCAGACTGGATGGCCAAAAAGATGCATGGATCCTTCTGTCTACCCTGCTCGTGTGCCACCACACCCCGAGTTTACATGGCTTTCGAGGATCCAAACTCAGGTCCTCATGCTTAAATAGCAAGCACTTTGCTCACAGAGCCATCTCCCGAGCCCCACCAGAAATAATCTTAAAGCTGAGTTTATTGCCATGAGTAAAAATAGTCACAGGAAGATTAAATGGATTGAGCAACTAATCCATTCCTTCATGAAATCTTTCCTATGTTTCATGAAGACCTTATTGATGGCTTATATGTGCCTGGAGCTGTGCTGACGTCTGAAGGTAAAACAGTGCACAAGCCAGCCCTGTTTCTTCATGACTCTTAAAGATAGTGCTCAAGAAATGATGTATGTGGTGTAGATTAATGTGGAGCAGAGTGGAAGAGTTCCACTGAGGGGCATCTGCTCACTCATCTCAGTGTTGGGGCTGGGAATAGGTGGTGAAATGATGACAATCCCTGACCAGAAGTTACCAGCCATTAGCTAGACAGATAGAAAAGGAACATCCCCTGGGTATGCTTGAAGGGGTGAGCTGGATAGGGAGGAGAGCCACCCAGTCTCAGTGTATCTGGCAAGTGAGCGTTTCTCTACATGGCTTGTTGTTAGCATACATGGGGAGAGAAGTGGAGCAATGAGAAATGAGGTAGAGAAGAAGGCATAATCAAGGTCAAGACAGGCCAGCAAGGAGCCACGATGCCCAGGGTCATGATCAGACTGTTCTCTGGGAAGGTCAAGCCTGTTCCTGTGAGGAATAGACAATAGAAATGCTCTGGGCTGGCTTTCCTTTTTAGAAGCAGTGAGGCCCATCTGACCTCCAGCTTCTACCTTCCTGATACCCAGTAAGGCCACCTTGATGCTGAAAATGACATTTACCTTCCTGTCTTTGGCAGGTGCTACATTACCCTCACCCAGTCTCTGCACCTGATCATGAGTGGGGCTCCAGCAGGACCTGCAGGCACAGGCAAGACAGAGACCACCAAGGACCTGGGCCGAGCGTTGGGCATCATGGTCTACGTGTTCAACTGCTCAGAGCAGATGGACTATAAGGTACAAGTCCACTCAGCCCCTGGAGAGACTGGGAATCAGGTGGTAGCTCAAATCAGGGATGATTTATTCATACTGTGTTGGTCCTGCTTCCCAGGGTTGCAGAGTCCAGACAGGAGGTTTCAGCTTGCTGCTTCATAGCACATGGACCCATGGAAGTTGTTTGCCTCCTGTCGGCCTCTTGTGTAACAAGGAGGCACAGCTCCAGGCATTCTGACTCCATTAATGAGCTGACACAAACGGGTCCCTTCTCATAGTGGTCCTTTTTCCATCTCCTGTAAAACAAAGGTGCTGAACACACCCCCAAAGCCCTAAATTCACCGTAGGCTCCAGAGTCACAAAAAGGCTTATGAGCACCGTGATGAACATGTCTGTCTCTGGGTAATAGCCTTTGAGCGCCTCTGTAAAATGGACACTCCTTAGGATATTATGCAAGGGCAGATACAACTTCTGAAAGCAGATTAGATTAGCCAGTGCTCACTGTAGAGACACCTGCAGAAGGACAATGGGAAGTCCATATGCTCGGCACTCATTTCAAACAGGTAATGTATTCCAGGTTGTATGATGGAGAAAAGCCAGAGAAGCAAAAGGCCCATGAGGTCATGTCTCAGCTACAGACATTCCACCCACAACTGAATAAAAATTCATTTAAAGATGTATAATAACAGATTGCTTTGCTGCCTCCATGTTTTTTGTTTTCTCATATTATGTTTTTTTATAAGCTGCCTTATGTTTCTTTTGTAAACACAATGACATGTAAAATTTAGACAAAAAGTTACATTGAATAGATTAAATAAACTGTCCTGTGACATACTGATTGAAAAGAAATTTGGGGGGCTAGAGAGATACCTCAGCAGTTAACAACACTGACTGTTCTTGCAGAAGACCTGGGTTTGAATCCCAGCACCCACATGGCAGCTAACAACTGTAACTCCAGTTCCAGGGGATCCAACAGTCTCTTCTGTCCTCCGCAGCCATTGCACAACATGGATGCACTTACCTACATGCAGGCAATACATGCCTACACATAAAATAAAAATAATAAAACTTTTTAATTTGATGTAAAAATTAGAGATTACAAGGTAATTCTGTGGTTAAACAGCTATAGGATTCTTTAGATGACTCAGTTTTGGGGGTCTGAATAATTTTCAGTGTTTAACTTCTCTGTGCAAAAATTATAAAGTCCTATAAAGTCATGTTTTCTCATAGCCAGTGAAGAGAGGGACATCCAGACCCAAAATACAGTCTTTCCCCTGGTCCATAGCCCCTATATTTGAGCACAGCTGTTTTTATTGATGAACACATTAAGATAATGCTGGTTTTCAAGGGTGGAAGATTTTTTTCCCCTTTAAAGAAATAAACAGCCTTAAAGATTATTTTGAAATTCTAAATTCTTCTGTAGTTAATTATTGGCAGTATTGTTGAAATAAATATAGTCTCCCAAGGGGAACATTCTGAAAGACACACTGATTTAGATGTAGAAGACATGTGTATTGATTTTAGAAAAATCAACAGATTTCCTCAAAGTCAAATCGAGCACAGCAAACAGGAAGAAAGGAGCTGACCCCACACTAGGGTCTTTTTATGTAATTATTTTCAAAATCAATCAGTGGTCCTTAACCCCACCTATCCTTCTGTGACTACAGGGTTGGGGAGGGTCTATCCTTGGCTCACCTGAACTGTAGTGAAGCTTCACTCCAGGCCAGCCACAGATTTGGAACAATATTAATAGGCTAAATGACACATCAGAAAGAGGCACTCCCTTCCTATGCCCCATGCCACTGTAACCAGACAGCCCACCTAAGCTGTTGGCACACTTCCTTTCCCCTTAGCTGTCCAGATTTTCAGAAAACACTCCATCAACCAAGTAGGTTTATTGGTTATTGCCATTGTTCAGAGTGCGTGAGGCATTGTGGGAAGATACCCAAATTAAATGATGTTTTATTCTACAGATAAGGATAAACAGTAGTCGGAGTTGCTCCAGAAACAAACTCAAGGGAGTTTCCACCAAGGAATAGGAGTGGCTAGGTTTCCACTGAAAGAAACACAAAAGGCTGGAGTGTAGCTTGGTGGTAGAATGCTTGCTTAGAATGCACCAGGCCACAGGCCAGTGCTTGTGAGGATGGTGAGAGGGAGGGAGAGAAGGATGGAAGGAGGGAGGGAGGGAAGGAGGGAAGGAGGGAGGGAGGGAGGGAAGGAGGGAGGGATTAGATGCCTGGGGGGAATCACTACAAAATACTTAGTAGAGAAACGTGCAGAGGGCCAAAGCTTATCTATGAAGATTGGCAGGGACAGGATGGGATGTTCTGCTGAGGAATGGCCTCAGCAAGGGGTCAGTGTATGCAACACATATGAGGTTTAAGGAATTTTCTTCAGGATTGAGGCCAATTTCTTTAAGTGGTTTGAGCAACTTAAATATCTTTACCAGTATCTAAGACTATTTAAGACCCCTGTTTAGGCTCAAGATGGCTAGCTGAGTCATGAGTGGCCAAAGTACTGTGATTTCTCAGTCAGGATACGGAAAGAAAGTTGGAGAAGTTAGGGGACCCAATGAATGATATAGATGAATAGATAGGTAGAGCAGATAGATGATAGATCAGTACTTGAAAGATAACAGATGATAAGATGATGATGATGATGATGAAGATGATAGATAGATGATAGATAGATAGATAGATAGATAGATAGATAGATAGATAGATAGATGATAGAATATAGCCCAGTCTCTCTTGAGAGACAAGACATATATGAAGTAATTGGGAGTGGAGAGATGGCTCAATGGATAAGAATACTGACTGCTTTTGCAGAGGACTTAGGTTTGGTTCCCAGCACCCACATGACGACTAACAACCATCCATAACTCCAGTTCCAGGGGATCTGATGCCCTCTTCTGACCTCTGCAGACATTGCACGACACAGGTACACTTTATATCTATGCAGGCAATACACTCATACACATAAAATAAAATAATAAATAAAAATTTTTAAAAAACATATATGAAATAATTCGTGGGGGCTTATTAATGCTCAAACAGCATAAACTCGAGCACTAATGTGTACCCTACAAATACTAAGCCCTGGAATATTCCAGAATAGGGACACAGACAGTGGTTGCTGGCCGAGAAACATGCTGAGGAACACATGAGACCCAAGGCTATTTGAATTCTGGGGTGTGGCATTTTAACACAGCCTAACCTATTAAAATATCAGCTTTGAAGCCAGGGCCTAGTTCTGTGCAGCCAGTATCCTTCCCCCACCCTTGTCAGCTTCACTCCATGAGTTCTTCTCGAGCCTGGCTGAGGTGTGGAGAGGAAGGGAACAAGGGTCAAGCATAGCTGTCAGGCTGTTATCCAGGGGTCATTTTGATGTGTATTTTATGACACTCACAGTAATATATTCTGCTCACATTTTTTTGCAGAAGAGAAGCTAGAAATAAGCTTGGTGTGATGATCAGGCAACCTTAAGGAGCACGAGCAACATAAGGAAGGTGGTGGGTTAGAACAGAGACAGCGAGGACCGTGGGCCTGTGAAGTAGTGGGCTGCAGAAAGACCTGCAGGTCAGAAGAGGTGTAACACATGAAGGCATACGAGGAAGATGCTGCAGAGAGCCAAGCAAAGGGAGGCAGGCAGAACGATGGGCATAAACATCCCAGGCTTTCAGATGGGGAGAGGTAGGAGCCGGGTGCCAGGGCAGCAGAAAGGGGAAAAAAGGAATAAGGCTTGAAGAAAACAAAACCAAATGACAATCTAGGCAACCTGGAAAGACAGCGTGTGGTGAAGCAAACAGGCACCAGAGATGAGGGTTAGGGCTGTAAGTGGTGTCCACATGCACCTCTGCCTTAGAAAGTACATGAGGAGCACCAGCCCATCCAACTCCATGAGGGCAGATGTGGGACCAGGGCACTCCTACAACAGTGTGGAAATGTGCAGGAAAGGAAAGGTATGGCTTTAATATTGTTTGTGAAATACCCACAGAACTAGCTACTGTCTCCAGCCATGACCAGTTTTAAACTAAAAAATTCTTTAAGTCATGTGGGGGATGACATTTGACAAGCTGGTAGTATGTAGGCTGTACAGGAATTCTCCTAAGTCAGAAAAAGGCAATAGAGTTTATGAGAACACAGCAGTAGAGCTGAGATAGATTGAACAGCAGAGAGAAACTGTCTGCACACAGGTATTCTAAGGGTTGCTTTACGGGAAAGGTTTGCACATGGTTATCAAGCAAAGTTTCAGTCACAGTGTCCTGGAATCATTGCAGCTGGGATTTATCATGGTTAGCAACAGCCTGGCCCTGAGGCAATGATGGTCTTTCTCTGAGTCAGAAATGGCTTAGCACGACTCCCTGTCCTAAACTGGCATCCACATTCTTCAGTGGGAACTTACGGTTGACCATCACAAGATAACGGTTTTGTTTGGAGGCAGCAGTAACCTTGTTCTGAGTCCAGCTTGCTCTGAGGCGAAAGCAGCCTTGTCTGAGTCTGGCTCGGCACAACCATCGATTGCAGGACAACATCCACACTCCATATTAAAGCAGCAATACTTCCCCCTTGACCTCAGTTTAGAGAGGTTACTATAGAACATCAAATGGCTTCGAATCTGAGAGCATTTGGAATGATTTCCGAGTTTCCTGGGGCCCAGAGTCCCCTGACCTGATTATTTCCCAAAATCTCCAATTCCCTCAACTTCCCAAGCATCACACTTCCACTTGTCATACTCTTCTCATCCCCTGGCCTCCCCATCTCATGCACTGTTTCCTTTTCTAGGACGTCCACTACAGCAAGTATTCTGGTGAATCCATGTCTCTTCTCCAACTTCACCCACACCCTGGTCTGCTTCTAGTTAAAAAAGGGGTGTCTGGTATAGAGGATCTTCCTCTACATTGGGAGGATCCTTCCTACACCTCTTTGACAAATTCCTCATTCCATCAGTAAGGTGGAAATCTGTGTCATCCTGTTTGTTCATGCCCTTGTATTACAATCCCAGATCAGTCATCAGTGTTGGTTCTCCCTCAATATCCTTCCCTTCCAACCTTTCATCCTGACTTGTCCCAGTCCAGAAGCACACCATTCAACAACATCCAGGTGACATCACTACTTAATAGATGGCACCAAGAGATGTGTACAATAAGTAAATGGGGCGATGTGGGGTTCTGCTGCTTTCCTCGGGCAATAATGGGGTAGGGGCAAACATATACTTATGGAAATTCTTATTAGGATTTTATATATTGCCTGCATTTTATTTAAAGGAGTCACAACTTTAAAAGCATTCAAACCACTGATAGGCATAGAATTTGGTTTTGGAATTTCTTTTAAGATTTATTTTATTTTTTTATTTTGTGAGTATGTATGTGTATCATATGCATGCAGTACAGGCATAGGCCAGAAGAGGGCATCTGATCCCTGGAACTGGAGTTCCAGTTGCTTGTTAACTGCCATATGTGCATGCTGGGAAATGAAGGTCCTTTGCAAGAGCAAAAAAATCTATTAACTGCTAAGCCATTTCTCTAGTCTCCTGATTTTAATATTTTTCCCTTAAATTTTGGCTGTTGGCTTCTGTCAGTTTAATATGATGTTCGTGAGTGTTTTTATCCTGCCTAGGGTTCCCAGGCTCCCTGAATGTCTGGGTTGGTGTCTCTTATCAGTTTGGGGAAAATACTTGATGATTACTCCTCAAAAAATGTTTTTTTCCTATTGCCTCTCTCCAAGTTTCTAATTGTCTATATGTTAGGCCTTTTTCATTGTCTTACATATCTGTCATCCTCTTCTGTTTTTTTCCTGTGCTACAGTTAAGCATTTTCTATTAATGTGTCTCAGTGACTAACTTGTCTTCTATGTTGAATTTGCTATTAA